TGTAGCTAGTAGAGCAGCTACTAGTGTTGAAACGTTTAAGATAAAACTTTTGACATTTTATTTACATTTTGGATCTGGACACATTATTGAAAATATTTTCTATATATTGTACAGTATGTTCCTTTAAGCAAACTGGGTGTATTTGAGAACTTAGTCTTACCACAATGTTATAATTGATTTATCTGTAGGTAAACTTGGAAGATAGTCAATCAGAAGTAGAAGCTAATTTTACTTGGTCAGGTAATATTAAGATAACTTTTAACTTAGTACAATATTTTGTCTATGAATGTATACAAATCGTTACTTTGATACGATAAAATAATTTTCTTATCGAAATTGAATCATAGATAATTAATGTTGCTGAAATATGTATTTTTTCGCTCTAGATTGTCGGAAACTAACCTATTCTTATTCAGACCTGATAATTTATTATAATATTCTGTCTTGCTAAAAGAGAGAAACATAAGGATTGCGGTTATATGTGGATTTTCATAAATCTAATTAGTAAGCCTCAAGGTCCGCAAAGGTATTATTTGAAGGAAAAAATAATATAAATAATGTTATACACAAGTGGGTTAGGTCAAACTTGTTTCTAAAAGATTATTAAATGGATAATACCAGATGAAATGAACACAAATATTTGCTGACAATGCAATACAATGGTGTTTGACTAAGGTCAAGGTTGAAATTTGCTACCCACACAACATGGCGGCAGAAACTCAAAAATCGTTTTGTTTACATAGTTTTGACGAGTATCACACACAATAATAATTGTGTTGTATAAAATCTCCATATTTTTTCTTACTTTATAAAGGTATGCCAGTGAGTCAAGGTATTGGTGAAGGACCTGCTAGAGTTGTCACAAGTTTACAAGATGCTGGACAAATACAGTCAGGTGATATTTTGGTTGTGACATGCACTGATGTTGGGTGGTCTCCATATTTCCCATTGATAAAGGGGTTGGTAACAGAAGTGGGTGGACTAATTTCACATGGTAAGTTTTATAATTGAGAGCTTTAAAAAGTTTCCCAAAATTGCTTCCAAAATTTATTATATATAATATTTAGATGCTGTGGTAGCAAGAGAATATGGTATACCCTGTATAGTTAATATTGTATTATAAGATTTTATCATATATAATATTTAGGTGCTGTGGTAGCAAGAGAATATGGTATACCCTTTATAGTTAATATTGTATTATAAGATTTTATCATATATAATATTTAGGCGCTGTGGTAGCAAGAGAATGTGGTATACCCTGTATAGTTAATATTGTATTATAAGATTTTATTATATATAATATTTAGGTGCTGTGGTAGCAAGAGAATATGGTATACCCTGTATAGTTAATATTGTATTATAAGATTGTATTATATATAATATTTAGGTGCTGTGGTAGCAAGAGAATATGGTATACCCTGTATAGTTAATATTGTATTATAAGATTTTATTATATATAATATTTAGGTGCTGTGGTAGCTAGAGAATATGGTATACCCTGTATAGTTAATATTGTATTATAAGATTTTATTATATATAATATTTAGGTGCTGTGGTAGCAAGAGAATGTGGTATACCCTGTATAGTTAATATTGTATTATAAGATTTTATTATATATAATATTTAGGTGCTGTGGTAGTAAGAGAATATGGTATACCCTGTATAGTTGATATTGTATTATAAGATTGTATTATATATAATATTTAGGTGCTGTGGTAGTAAGAGAATATGGTATACCCTGTATAGTTGATATTGTATTATAAGATTGTATTATATATAATATTTAGGTGCTGTGGTAGCAAGAGAATATGGTATACCCTGTATAGTTAATATTGTATTATAAGATTGTATTATATATAATATTTAGGTGCTGTGGTAGCAAGAGAATATGGTATACCCTGCATAGTTAATATTGTATTATAAGATTGTATTATATATAATATTTAGGTGCTGTGGTAGCAAGAGAATGTGGTATACCCTGTATAGTTAATATTGTATTATAAGATTGTATTATATATAATATTTAGGTGCTGTGGTAGCAAGAGAATATGGTATACCCTGTATAGTTAATGTTCCTAAGGCTACTTTACAAATAAATTCAGGTAAATCAACTTTCTCTTAAAAAATTAAACTGTTCATTTAATACATTTTTGCCAAAAACAATTGATTGATGGAAATGGCTACCTTTCAGGCTTATTTTTAGGAATTCTGAATACACAATATTTATTGTCTTTGCTTTGTCTCTGAATATCACAAGCAGGGCTCTTAATTTATTTTTTTTTTTTTTTTTTTTTTATGATACATGTTATTCATATTTGTAGGTGATAAACTAGTTATAAATGGTACAGCAGGAACTGTTTCAAGAGTAAATTGATGGTTGTTTAAAACGGGTACTGTATTGTAACTATAAGTACTATATTAAGGTTGACCAGGATATCCAATTGACATTAAGGCATTTAATTTTTGATGGCACTTTTGTTTTGTAATATGAACCACATGTACAAAATCCTTAATTATTTAACATAGCAGTGAGCTGTAATATCCAGGGTATATTTTGATATTTTTTGTTAAATTATAACCAAATAACCAAAACAAAACCCATATATTTTTTGATACATATATTTTTTTGTGATAGAAGATATAGTTTACTCACAATTCCAGATTTTAGAAACCTGATTAATGGGACAGGTGTACCATTTTTTTTACATACATCATACTTTAGTTTAAGAAACGAGAATATTTTAGCTGGGCTAATCAGTAATAGTGTTCACAGCTAACCGTCGAAATTTGAGCCATCAAATCCATGTGTGTCCAGAATTATCTGTGTTTGAATGTTAAAATGACGACTCGTCAATTTAAGATACTTTGTGATGTATAGAAAAGACATATATAGAAATAGTGAGTAAAATTCCTAGTTTGAAGTTTTTTTAAAGTCATTATGTGCTTTTCGTACATTTCTAGTACTTCTGAAGACTATTTACTTATATTCAAGACTACAATCATCTCCCCAAAATGTCGCAACGGTCCCTTTAAGACTCCTCCTTTAAATAAAATTAGTTTCAGATGATTACTTTAGATATCAGAATTTTATTACATTACATATTAAGAAATCCTTATCTGGGAGACATTATTTGCATTTACTCACAAAAGTCTGATTTTGGTACTGTATTCTACAGTTCAAATTATATTTTTTACTTGTTCATTAGTTATCTAGCATTTAACCCATTTTTATGTGTAATGAAAAAATGAAGAAGGGATAATTTTACAGTGCATTTTGCTGATTGACATAATGTGTTAAGTTGTGGGCTGAGAAAGTTTATTGGCTCTTAACAATAATTAATCAATTGAAATTATTCTAGCTGAAAAAATATAGTCAGTAAGGTTTACATATTTAAGTATTACTATCTCATGGGATTGAGATCAAAATGTAAAGAATTGCATTTTGATAAAAAAAAAAAAAAAAATTTCTGCACATTTGACAGGTTGTTTTGAGTTTTAAAGTAGCAATCGCCAGTTATTTTTTGACCACAAAAGTTTTCCATCAAGTTAGTTGATCTAACATTTACTAAATGGTCAAAAGCATCAAAAACTAACTCAGTCCCGTCTACAAGAATGAATTGATGCTGGGGCTCAGATTTCATACTCAGAAAATTTGAACAATTACAGGCCCAGAGAACTCATTTCTGACCATTTTGAGGTGCCAAAAATGTATCAAAATGTTTATCTTTTTGATTTTGTACAAAGACACTGTAAATGAATCAATCTCTGCTGAACTGAAGAAGGTTTTGTTGGGACTCTATTCTCACTTTCTGGGGCCTATATTTTATAATTTTTTTATTAGTTTTAATTAACCTTTTTAATGACAATTATTTTATGATGCCTTTTAAATGAAATATAATGTATTTTATTTTTTTTAAATGTTGTTTGAAATTTCTCGACTATTGTCTTTTAATGATATGTTAACATTTATTTTGATTGCTGTTGAAATTTTAATGAAATATTATTACTCTAGAATAGAATACCTACTGCGTACTTAAAATCAAAAATGTGTATAGTTTAGCAAAGCTATTTGTATTGATAACCTAGAGCCAGTGGCATATTCAGCTCTCTTAATGCTCAAAATTCATCTCAGGAGTTTCACGACTTTTTAGAGGCTTTATTTGAATAAGAAAATGAATTACAAATTTTTCGTTTTTTGATTTAATGACAACAATTACATTCAATCCAAAAAATTAGTGTATTCATCGGCCACAAAAATTGGCCGGCCACTGAAGTAATGACGAAGTGTCAATTGCATCTCAGGCAATCTGAAATCCGGTTTTGAGTAGTTTCACCCTTTTGGACCTCGCCTAGGACGAGTTGACATGAAGACGAGTTGACTGGTATTCGCTGATGGTATGGATTTGCACCAGTCCAATTTTCAATCAGACGTCTGTATTTTTAACAATTCCCCCACAACTAGGTGTTTTATGATGTTACTATCGCAAAGGCCCACTTTTGTAATGTCATCGTGACGACAATGACTGCTTAGTCTTATTTGAATTGCAAGAATCACAGGCGTCAGACTGAAAATAGCCAATTTTAACCGATAGATTTTAAAGCCTACAGAATTTGAATGTAATAAACTCTATAATTGACTAAGACACTCTGAGATTTGTTCAATCTGATTACCATGACCACAAACATCAGACAAATAAAACAACCTCTTAATCTTTAGCAATCTAAAACCAGAATATCAGCGAGCTCAAAGAGTCTAATTAGTCAATTTAAAGCTGGTTAAGTGAACGTAAATTCGGCTTAAAGTTATTAAGAGTAGTACATGTAGATTTCAGCCGTCGACAAGTGTTAAATAGATTTGATTATTAAACAAAAAGGCATGTCTAAAATGTTTAACGGTCACTCCAGAGCTTTCAGTACAAAATGAAGCACACTTCATCCACCAACGACAAAAGCCTGTAACGTGCTGCAGACGACAATTCATAAGGATTTAAACAAGGAAAATGTGGGGAAGAAATGTTAAACATGCAGGTAAAAACTTTGGATTCGATTTGTGTATTTTAATCCCTTATGTTGGTAAGAGCGACACGTTTCAATTAGCGTTTATCTACAACAGATTTTAGATATTTTGTTCTTTTAGGCAAAGGCAAAAAACTCAGATCTACAAAGCCGTTGTGTCTGAACAAATCACAGATAGCGACACATATATCCAAAACGCTTAAGAGCTTTGTTAAGAGGATGCAAAATTCTGCTTCACTTCATTTACATTGATTGTAAAAAGTAAATTGTTCACGTACAGTATAATCATGTTTGAGTAAACAGTGGTATGTATTATCATGGGACCCATCATGTATGATCTTGGGACCCATCATGTATTATCTTGGGACCCATCATGTATTATCTTTGGACCCATCATGTATGATCTTGGGACCCATCATGTATTATCTTTGAACCAATCATGTATTATCTTTGGACCCATCATGTATGATCTTAGGACCCATCATGTATGATCTTAGAACCCATCATGTATGATCTTTGGACCCATCATGTATGATCTTTGAACCCATCATGTATGATCTTGGGAACCATCATGTATGACCTTGGGACCCATCATGTATAATCTTTGGACCCATCATGTATGATCCTGAGACTCATCATGTATTATCTTTGGACCCATCATGTATGATCCTGAGACCAATCATGCATTATCATTGAACCCATGGTCTGTATCACAAATAATACACGTTTTTTTAGTCAATGGATGTATACTGGGTGGTACATATTGCGATGTCCAGACACGCTCTTTAACATGTTTAACATTTTTACTGGGTTGTTTACCTTGTTAACTGTCACGAGTGTCTGTTTTAGTCATCAAAACAATATTGCAGTACTATTGGTATGATACAGCTAACACATTCTATCACTTCTGCTCTGAATATATTAAAAGTTTGTGATACGGTAGGAAGAATAATATCTGAACAGGGCTGTGGTTCAATCATGTATCATCCTAGGGCCCGATCATACATCATCTGTAGCGGGCCTATCATTCGTGATTTCGATTGCAAAGTTAATTTGACGAACCCCAACTGAAGTGGCCAATTAAAAATAAAAGCAAATAAAAATCGGAACGGAAGTTTGGTGTAATTTTAACGAGACTGATAATTGGGTATATGATACATACATTTATTATATATTCAATCCGTAAAGCAATACTATTTCATAATTATATAACGTTCGTATTTGTATTTCAGCGAATTACCTTAAAAGATGCTCGATCTCGACCAGTTTGGGTATCTCCAGATCAGAAGGCCGTGCTGTTAATAGTAATGATGTATCAGACTATAACCAAGCTTTACCATTTGAAGATATTCCTGGTCCTCGAGGTATCAAATATCTTGGAACTTTACATCACTATATGACTGGTAGATTAGATAAATATAAATATCAAGATATTTTAGAAGAATACTTTTCTAAATATGGTCCCATCTTTAAAGAAACACTATTTGGTAGCACCATAGTACATGTTTGTGATCCGAAGATGTTCGAAGTTATTTACCAAGATGAAGGTAAATACCCAGAGATTGAGCCTCTTGTGGAACCGTCGCAAAAGTTTCGCGGAGAAGGTGATTTGTCTTTAGGTCTTGGGAACTCAAATGGTGAAAAATGGTACAATCTTCGAGCAATCGTACAAAAAAGCATGCTGAAGCCCGCGGAAGTTTCCAGTCATCTTCAAATTATAAACGAGATAGCTAATGATTTCGTGGATAAAACTTTACATAAAGGATATAGTGACGATTTTCTTTTGGATACTTCAATATGGAAGCTTGAATCTGGTGGTGCATTAAGCTTCGGTAAGCGACCCGGGTATCTTGAATGTGGATCGGCTCAGGAAATGGAAGCTATGAAGCTTGTCAAGATGGTGGATAATACGTTCACTTTAGCAACAGATTTAAAATTCTCGTTTCCTTTATACAAGTATATTAAAACACCAGCTTATAAAGCCTTGCTTGACTCGGAACAGTATATTAATGACGTCACTTCCGTTTATCTTTCCGAAACCTTAAAACATATTGAGACAGAACTTGAAAGGACAGACGACTTCAATGACATTCAAAATACTTATCGTTTTCTATATTCATTGTTAGGTCATAAGAATTTATCTAAGAAAGATATGGAAGTGATAGTATTATCAATGTTTATAGATGGACTAAGAACCGTGGTTCCTGTTTTAATATCAGTTTTATTCTGTTTATCACAGTCTCCTAGAGTCCAGGAGAAACTGTTCACAGAAATCTACAACGTGTTGGAAGACAGAAAATATATAGCAGCATCTGATATAGCTCAATTGCCGTATCTGAAAGCCTGCGTCAAAGAGACGTTTCGGTTGTATCCAATTGGTCTTGAAATTTCACGAATCAACCAAAATGACATGGTTTTAGGTGAATACAAGATTCCATCCGGTACAAAGCTAAATTTAAACAATTTTGTCTTAAATAGAGATCCAAATATATTTGCCAATCCAGAAGCATTTGTCCCCGAGCGATGGTTGCGCGGTTCGGAACATGCCGTGGACGCACATCCCTATTTGCTGCTACCGTTTGGTAGAGGACCTCGAATGTGTGTAGGAAGAAGATTCGCCGAGCAAGATCTTTATGTTTTAATCAGTAAACTTATTCAGAATTGTGAACCTCACTGGACAGGCGAGAAATACGAACATCAGTTCAAAATACTAGTGTATCCAGCTTGCCCAGTAAAATTTCAGTTTAAACCTCGTCAAAGTTCATCTAAGTAAAAGTTTGATTGATTGTAATAATAACAACGACTTACATTGAGCATGACGTTATCATGTTAACGGGCTTAAGCAGTGGCGTTTCTAGGGAACATTAGTTGAAGGGACCGTAAAGGGGCCATAAAATATTCTAGGGGGGCCACAAGCTATTCTTTCACTATGTAAAGGTACAGGTGCTGTATTTCCGGGGGTCAATTTGGACCTTGCATGTACAAATAGTCTTCAGAACTACACAAAATTTAAAAAGTGTACGAAATTCCTTCAAATAGACCTCAAACAAGAAATTTGGGTTAATTGCTTTACAAGAGTTACCTCCCTTGATATAGGAATTATGTTTTAAAGAAAAGTATAATTCGACACTCTTCATGTCTTTCGCGCTTGTGTTAATATTTACAAAACAAAGCGTAAAAATGATTATGTAGAAGGCTACTGAAAGGGCTGATCGCCTGACTTCATGAATAGATACTATCTCGGGCCCAAATACGAAGTTTACCTGCAACAATTAAACACGGTAGAAATAGTGCGGACATAATTAAAGTATGGAGGGTTTTTCAAGACATTAAACATTCTTTCTATTTTCATTTTTTTTTCTGAATAGTCATTTGTTCCCTTTTTTTCCTTTTTGAGATATGAATTCCTTTTATTTTTTATTTTTGTTCTCTGATAAGAATTTTTGTTTTCACGTAATCAGTGGCTATACTATAGGGACTGGTTGGACAAAGTCCGTCCGAAAAAAAACCCCGAACCATATAAAGTCCACGGGCCCCACTCATGTAGTTAAGCCACTTCACGTAATTATGTTTAACCATAATGTATTACTCTATGGTATTGAACTGTTATGGACCTATATGATAAATCTAGTTTATATCTTATACGACGTTTATCTGAATAATCAATATCAGCATCAAACTACCAACATTCAAATATACTAAATTATACATTAGCAATAATTATAATCGACCATGCATTACTATTAATTTGAATAATTGGTTGAATATGGTTTTATAATTAACGTTCCGTATGGACGTTTCATGGAAATTATTCTTTGTTGACAATTGGATGAAAGAGAAGTTTTGATCAATTTTCTCTTTTCAGCATCTCTTTTTACTGTTCTTGTTCGACAATTCTGTTCACTGTTCTGTTTGACATCTCTATTCACTGTTCCATTCGACATCTCCGTTCGTTGTTCTGTTCAACAAAATCCCCGGTTTGTTGTTCTGTTTAACATCTCTGTTTACAGTTCTGTTTTACATCTCTGTTCACTGTTCCGTTCGACATCTCTGTTCGTTGTTCTGTTCAACAAAATCCCCGGTTTGTTGTTCTGTTCAACATCTCTGTTTACAGTTCTGTTTTACATCTCTGTTCACAGTTCTGTTTGACATCTCTAAACACTGTTCTGCTAGACATATCTTTTGACTGGAATGATCTATCAAATGTCCATTTTCTGTTTGACATCCCTGTTCGTTGTTCTCTGTCCAACATCTCTGTTCACAGTTCAGCTCAACATCTCTGTTCACTGTTCTGTTTAACATTTCTGCCTACTGTTCTGTTCAGCATCTCTGTTCACTGATTAATTCTATATTTCTGCCCCCTGTTTTGTTCGACATCCCTGTTCATTGTTCTGTTCGATATCTGTGATCACTTTGTTCAACATTTCTGTTTTTGTTCTCTGAAACATCTCAGCTCATAGTTCTGTTTAACATTTCTACTCATTGCTCTGTTCGACATCTCTGAACGCAGTTCTGTTCACAATATCTGTTCACAGTTAGACATCTCTGTTCACTGAAATGATCTTGCAAGCAGTCAACTTTCGTTCTGTGATAGTATACAGATTCAATTTTAAGGAAACTACCACGAGCGACATAAGATGATATGTGTCAAATTGTATAACAAGGAACATACAGTGATTTATAATAGTGGATAGACGAATGAAACCATTGAGCGTATATTAATAATAGTATAGTTACTAATTAATTTATTGATTATTATCTTGACTTATTGACATCACATCTAAAATAAACAAAACAACTGTGATTCTTTACCACTGATTACAAAGGCTACAAACAGTATAGATTCTCTCTTCACTACGTTTTAATGGACTGCTATTTAGAGATTCGGCTATTTGAAATAGCCTATAGTCAAATTACATTAACGTGACATTACAATGACGTGCACAAAATGGTTATTGTAGATTTTGCAGTTTTCTTGCCATAACCTCGACCCTGAATAGACCCAGTTTTTTAGTTTCAAAAATACTAATTAGCGTATGCTTAGGCAACGATTCATTGCTTGTCAGTGACTGACACTTAAGTGAAACGAAATGAATGCCTGAATTAGCCCAGGGTGGTAGGTTACTACAAAATTACACTGATAAACCTATATGTTTATTGCGTTTATGTCTGCAATGAATCTTAATTATCTGAGTACATCTTTAAAATGAGCTCGTTCTTTTCGGGTAAGACGCGACAATTTAATTGTCTGAACTAGTACAGAAACAATACAGACTAGTTTACAATTCTCAGTGTCAAGAAGTATTGATTTAGAATTGAAATAAATAAGAAATCTGCCGTATTGTCGTATGCTTGATTGAATACAGAGGAAGCCTGTTTTTAATGTAGAATAGAAGGTTACCACGCCACAAATAATTCATTAAGTCCACAGAAACATTGAATGAACGACAGAAAAGAATAACTAATTATTAACTGGTCAACTGTTCGTCTTATTATTAATAATGTACTACATAGACAATAAACAATATTGTTTTGAACAACACGAAGGACTTCCAGGAATAGTCCAAGATTGTGAATTCATTTTCTTTTTCATTGGAATCCTTGTCATGGGTTGTCTTATTGTTGTCATCAGCGACAATCTCTCTATAGCTATGTTTACCAAAACCTTTTATACCCTATTTAACTGATTCCCAAAGTGGCCGTCATACAATAACGATCTCCAGTTGCGTATGGTTGCCAATAATTATAACGGTTATATGTTTCGAACGCAACTCTCTTGCAAGTTGTGGGTTGCATTCGGAACTCATGGCCACTTTCATTATTCGCAACCATACACAACTGTCTATGTTTTTTCTTTCGTTCGTCAGACCTACAAACGATTGTAATATGAAACGACTATCCTGTGACGTTTGGGTTATAAGATATCATATACATGACCTGTTGCAGAACTCTAGCGGAACTTTCACGACCCATCGTTTACCAGAAAATTACATATTTTTGCCCTATTGATATGGATGATTGCAGAAAGCTTGGCACTGCAATATTCTAAAACCTCATTTTCACAATGTCAACCTATTGTCAACTGTGTTTTATACCTTGACTGCAATAACCTTTTTTTTTATTGCGAAAGTTTGTAAATGAAGTGATTTGATTGGATTGTACAGCGAATACAGTCAGACAGAGAGCCTGTAAGCAATAAGCCGTAAAAACTACAGTCTCCTTGTCGAGGTCTCTGTGGTTGGATTCGCTAGCGTACGTACATTCCAATGAAATCGCCATTCTGATTCTGTGTTTCAGGAAAGGTGGTTAAAGCAGCCAAGGTATAAGACGAAGTTCGTATTAGCTTGACATTGTGAAGAGGTCAAAACCTATGCTATTAAGGTTGAAAAAAAAAAAATCAAAAGTCTGTCTGCTAAATATTTTATTACGCTTTGTTACATATTCAGTGTGTAATGACTAACAAGAGAAATAGATGGTTGGATTGATCTCTTGATTTATATTGAATTTTCCTTTTGTATCCTGGAGATCTTAAAATAGTTACCGCGTTCTTCTCAAAAATACAATTTTCATGAGATATACATTTCCCAACGTCTGTGTCAGTGAGAACTAGATGAGTGGGGCCCTTGGAGTTCAGTGGGTTGGGGCCACTGCCCCGGGAATTTCTTTTTAACCATTTGTACTCCTGCGTTCTGAGACCCCTTTGCAAGTCAATTTAATGTCTGTTAATGGACCATTAGGGATGGGTGCCCATGGACATGGTTCAGCCAGTACGTATATGGTTGTTGAGTCATATGATCTCTTTAAAGGGTGACAATCTGACAAATTTGGTTATAATGCAGATTCAGATGTTTTGTTCCATGTTTAGTCACCTTGTTTTGGAAATAGATATAGGCACATCCTATTCAAGAAAAATGTACAAATTCAAATTCCTCAAAATACCAAAAATTTTTCTCAACTTTTTTTCTCAAAATAGCCATCTTGTTTTGGAAATAGATATAGGCCTACTGTCAGTTTAAAAAAGAAAAGAAAAACATTGAGTTTTTCATAGAAAATAAAAGTAAAAGATTATCATATTGGCCAAACTTTGAGAGTTTCCATAGAACGAAGAACACAAATTTTCAGAGAACAATTATGTGGCCATCTGGTATATTAATGAGTATAAATTGCAAAAGTCTGGTTATAGACTGTTGATATTAATACAATATTATGTATACATATAGATAATTAATACGCAATGTTATATATAAATAATATATATAGGAATGGTTATGTCATACTAATAATCACAGTTTAAGTGTTTATGTAAATCTATACTGGGAAGATTTCTACTGACACAATATGCCTGAGATTTTTGGTTGCTTGCTACTGTAGGTCAGGGCTTTTCAACCATTTTCTTTCCATTACCTCTTTCAAGATCCATGACCCAGGGTTCAATCCAGGCTTAGGTCGAGATATTACCTTTGGATTTTTCAACCCGGTTTCCTCCTATCAGTGATATAGGTTAGATGGGCTGGCATGGAAAAAGCGTTTTGTCAATAAACCAAGGCTCCGTGTGCTACAAGTTTTGCATGTTAAAGATCGCTCGACAGTTGAAAATAAAAAAGAGCAGGCTTATGCCAATGTCTTGGCAAAATTTCCCTCATTGCACAATGCATGGTGTTGTCCGTTTTCATTAACCCACAGTCATGGTGCAGAAAAACTCAAACTTAATTTCATTTATTTCAGGATCCTTGATCGATTGCATTACCCCATCCCAATTATAAAGCCTTACTA